GAGAAAGAGGGAGAGCAGCCGAGCCGCGGGCAAGAGTTGAGCGGTGCGCGCGCGCCGTCCCGCCACGCGACTATATATATGTATAGATGCATACAACGGGCATGCCCTGCCGTCTGCGCGAGCACGCTGCCGTGCTCTTTTTTGGGGAATGCACCCTTGTACCCGTGGACCTCACCTCTGGCAGCTTTGTCGCCTTGCCCTCCTCGCCACGATCGTTTATACCAAGTCCACCCGAATCATTCACCACCGAGTGCTCCACTCGGGGCTGACCATTGCTGCTCTTCAACTACTTTCCGAGGGAATTTTCCTCGTCATTCTTTCAATTCTATTACTTCGCACTCGATTTGGGCCAATCTCGATGTGTACCATTCGATAAGCCAAGCTCTCGCGCAATCGGAACTCTCGTTTATGTGTGATTAACCGCAGTTTAATCGGAGCATCCATTAATTATTATTCCACACTCAATGTTCCACTTTCTCCAAGTCACTCTGCGATTGTTTCAATCGGGTTGTCCAAATCTTCTGCGACCTAAAATATTTCATTCATCGATATGTATTCGAAATGGTCTTATAATGACAGTTTACACTCAGTGCAGAATAATGTCAACGGAATATCTCAAGATAATTTTCGAACACAGCTTCGGTACGATCAATTTGTAGCATTTGAGTTTCACTAGAAAATTACAAAGCAAATGTAATGTTGATTATCTTATTATAACGTGAAAGATATATAAATAAGTAATCGTACAATCGACCAACATTAGTTTTTTCATAAAAATGACTAAATATTTCGCATTTTATTCGAAAAAATATTGGAGCCACTTGAATAATTAGTTGATCCGTATTCGCACAATAAGCGCCAATAAAAAACGAAACACATACGTGTTAGTTTACAAAGAGCTTCTGCTTATGCGAATGTATTTTTGTAACTGGCAATGATCAGTCAATATTTTCTATTTTCGTAAATAACAACAATTTCCGGATGCTGGTGGAATGTACGCAGGTAACTGCGAATTTCCGGTAGGCCGTCAGCAAAGCGTATGCGCGCGTTTTCCTGCTCCACCTTGACCAGTCACTTGTCGTTTTATATTTGTACCATTTGCTCCGACTTCCTTTTTGCTGGCGAACACCAAGCTTTTTTAGATTCGCATTAGAAAGCTTGGAATCTTAGCAAACATTTTTACTCTTTCTGTGTTCACCTAACTTCTATTTAATCCGTGACACGTTTCATATAACGATCGTTCTTCGCCTCACAAATATATGAGTAACTATAAAATCATTACTAATTGTAAATTACTGATGAGCCCTTGAGTCACGCGACTTCTTCATATTATGTTCGACAACAAGTAATATTACAACGAATATTTATATACGAAATACGCAAATTTAATCTGGCGAGCATTGTAAGGCTCTTTGACTTTATTTAAAAATATATTTATGCTTACCAAAGTTCCTTGACAGAATTCTTTTCTTTGCATTTAAAATTTTAAAAGCTATATATAATTGCCATTTTAAAGGATCGTTTCTCACATAAAGTATCGATAAATGATTATTCACATGATAAAATACTATTCAAATAATTATAATTACAAATAAAAGAAAATATGTAAAACCATTTATTTGAACTCATTAATTGATTTTGATTATTATATCATAACTGCAATCATTACGTAAAATGATCTTGAAGACATTGTTTAAGTTGTAGTTATTTTCATATTTTTAGTGAAACATTTTTTATGAATATTTTACTCTTTTGAAAATACGTCATGAGTCAAATATTTACTATTAACATAAAACATTAAAATTCTTATGTATTTTTAGAAATCCAAGAGAAAATTCTTATGTATTAGAAAATCAAGAGAAGAATTAATCAACTAATATTTATATTTATAAAGTACTTATCGCATTTTTCACTTTCCTTATTCTATATGCCAAAGAAAAAAATGTTTTATCTTTATTGGTTGCATTATGCATGTGCATTAAACGAGTAACTAAAGTATTAATGAATTAACATACATAACAAACGAAAGTTCGGCAGGATAGTTTATTCGAGCGATTTGACAATAAGTCTTATCCAGAAGGGCGACTATTCCGCTAGCTTAATATTTGCTTATGAAATATTGCTAAAAGTTTCTCTCTGAATAATTTTATCTTCAATGATATACTGACTGAGAATTCTTCAACAGCCGAATTAGGTGTTGTATTACTTTAAATACTTTCTGTTACAATAACAAAAATATATCTAAAATTAATAAAAATATATTACCTACAAATTGTTGATTTAAAATCACTTTACATGCTTATAAATTAAAAGATATTATAAATAAAAATTCAGCAATACAATCAATCAAGATAATAATTTAGCTTATTCAAAATATAGTGAGGGTAAAGATTGCACTCGAATGGAAGAAAACATGCAAATCTTAGTCTCGTCAAATATAAATCCGGGTTGCTAAAAGTGAAATTGTAACTATTTTTGTAATTTGGTAAAACGTGTGCATAGGCAAAGATGACAGCTTTCGTACGCTTAAAGAGATTCTTATAAACATGAAGAGAACAATAAAGTCGATGCTATATTAGTTACTGGCAATTTATTTTATGAAGCAGTTCCTTCAAATGCATTAATTTACCGAGAAGTTATTGTTCCATATTGTGCATTATTCGTATAATGAACTATTTAATTATAGTCCTTATTAAGTAATCTTGTGTGAAACTTATCCAGGCTGGTGAAGATCGTACATATCACTAATCCTCAGTGAATTTCCAATCATTATATACTCATCGTATAAAGCTTTAAATTTTGCCGATAAAAACTTGAATATAGAATGACCAATATTTACCACTTAAGTCATCGAGACTCTCTGTCAAGTAATAATTGTAATTATTCGACATAACACGGCATTGAATGAAATATTAAAAGGCTGACGCGTCAGAAGGAGGAGCGTTGGATTTTTTTGCATCTACCAGGCTAATAAACTACTTTGGAAAAAATGGACAGTTGATCCTCAGAATTAGTATTCGTCCGTTATTTCTTCGTAAAGGTTCCGGTACTACCGTTGATTTTTATGGATTAAATTATATAAACGATAAAAGATTGTCCATTTTGATTAAACACGATAAATTATAACGCGAAGAACAAATAAAATTGAACCGTTTTCGTTAATTATCAAAATAACATATATTTTTTAAACAAGTTCGTTCGTTTATGGTTAATATCGACTATGACTTATGTCATGAACTATTTTCATAAAATTAATTTATTAAACTCTACTACATTCCCTTCAAATTTTAACAAGCAATAATTAATTTTTTCTTTGTTTTTAGTTTCAACTACCTGAAAATTATACTTTTTTAAATATATAAATAAATATATAAATGCTTATATATAAGACAGTAATTTTATATCAATATCATAAGCTAAAGGTAGAAACATTATTGCTTATTTTTTTTTTATTTTATCCCGAACTTTCAAACAGTCCCAGATAAGAAATTTCTCGTTTATCAATGAGGTGATGCATAATTATTTTTACATTCATCTATCAACATATCTTCAATGTTGTTTTCAATTTTCATCATAGATAATACGATTGTAACGTCCTTACTCAAGAAAAATGCAAAGCCGAAAAAAATTTTCTATACTCAAAGTGTATCAGAAAATAGTACTGAAAATTACTAATTGCAAAATAATTAAAAGTATCTATTTTAAAAACTAAATCACTATAGAAATCGAAAGTTTGGTTAACAAGTACATTGAGCCAGTTTTATTTCCCGAAACTCCTAAAAAACTATCAAGTTTGGAAATGAATACAAACTAAAGCGAATTATAGTAACGAAATGAAATTTCTGTAGATTCGTTATTAATATCCTGAAACACTGTTAAGCGCATTGCGAGCAACTGAAAAAGCCGTTATTAATAATGAAAATATGTAACGAGAAAGACGATTTGATTTACTTGAGTAAATATTTGTGTATTATATTGAGTGGTTGACCAATTAATAATTTCAATTTGATCTACATGATTGCTGATAAAATATCAAGATATATTAATAAAATCATTTGGTTTTTCAGGTTTAAAATATCACTGTCCCAAGAATCCCAAGTGGAAAATAATCATGAATGTAATGATAAATTTTCTAAAATATTTTTCATTAATGTGTATTTGTTGTATATTTTGAAATTTTTAATTGTTATATCAATAAATACTATGTGTAGATATCTATCTATACATAGTATTTATTGATAGATACCGATCTATACATAGTATATTTATTAATATAACAATTATATGTACACATAGTGTGAAATTTCAGAATTCCAAAAATTAGACTCATATTGTAGGGGAGCACGACATTGCCGAACACTTCAATTGCGAGATCAATAACAATTCTGTATTTCCTGTATTTTTGGAAGGAAATAAAGAACGTCAATTCTTTAAAAATGATTGTGTAGTCAGTTTATATAATTAATAGAATATTTTAAAGTATCTTACCATAAAAAGCATATCTTTTGCAATAAAAACATATATATATATATGTATGTATGTATATATATATGTACACATATACATACACATTATTAATACAGATAATAAATTGTAAAATTCTTATACTATCTTCAATTTTGTAAACATCGATACAAAACATACCTTTTAATTTAATTGTTATTATGTAATTTCCGAAAAAAATTAATAGCGATGTAAGAAAATTATTTCGATAGATAGATATATGCGTGAGAGTCCGCGTGGCCGCGTATGTATGTATGGCAAAAAGTTTCATTAATAATTAATAGACTCAATATAAAAAACAAGATGTGCCACAATCAGTATTCAATGTACGATTTTATCGATGCTATCAGTTATATAGTTAGTATACAATAAATAGCAGTATTGAACTTTTTCCATATATTTGTTTAAATTTATTGTAAATTATAATTGAGTTAAAGATAAAAAAATCTCTCCAAAAATATAAATATTATATTTTATAGAATTTTCGTGGTCATGGATGGACAGTATAGACATCTACCTAATCTACCATACCAAGTAGAAATACTCAGGTTATAAGTTAGTCGCCTACGTATGGAATCGCAGATTACAAACAGAATATAACAGCGTTTTATTTTAATAAACAATTATAATCTAAAACTGCTATATTGTTAAAAAATTTAACTTATTAAAAAATTTAAAGATTGAATGCATTAACGATGTCTTATTTATTTCAACCCGACTATGTGAGATATGTTTGCAGCTGTGGGTCATTGAAATCTATTGCTAAAATTTACTTTTGCAGACACTGTTTGAGTATTCGGTGTGGTTATTGTGTTTGTCATGAGGTACAAAATGTTATCAATTGATATGATTTTAATATACATATTTATGTAACACCTTTTTACTTGTCCATAGGTGGATTCATATTACTGTTCTAATTGTTTAGAAAATCATCCTCCATCAGAAGTTCGACTTAAAAAGAACAAGTAAACTAAAAGAAAATTTTTATTATTTTCTTGATGTTTTAAGATATATCAGAAGATCTTTATATGTAGATAATACAGCTAAGTTAACTTATAGATTGATTTTTATTTCTCAGATGTTCAAATTGTTTTGACTGTCCTTGTTGTGCCCAAACACTATCAATTCGTTCTGGGCAAGTATTATTAAAACCAATTCAAGCGACTACTGTAGAAGAATCAAAACCAACAACAAAAAAAGTTTACTATTTGAGTTGTTCTTTATGTCGATGGAGTTCTAGAGATGCCGGCATTCCGGATCAAACTGTTGGTACGTTGTTTTGAATAAAAGTACTTTCAGTAGGAATAAATAAAACATATGTAGCATTGAATAAAATATCAATTTTTTTAAGCTACTGGAAGTTGGAAAGAGCAAGAGAATCCAAATGTAAACAGGATAACAGCTTTGATAAATTATCATAAAATTTTAGCATCCATAGAAAAACAACAAAAGGAGCGGAAGAAATATCAAGCAAAGCGAAATTTTTTACAATATGTAAGCATATTTCAATTTTTGAATATACAGAAGTTTATCTGACATTACATTTTTCAGGAGAAATTTGGAATTACCTCAACTGTTGCACGTAAAATTACTGGACGACCATCGCCAAAACCACAGTCACAAATCAGTGACCAACCACCAGCCTCTAAAGCTACAGAAGAAGTTGAGGAACTTCCAGAAGATATTTTTTCAAAGTCTGTAGATATAACAAAAAGTACGTACAGTTGAAAAAGAAATAGTGTAAATATTTTATTTTATTAAAACCACGTTGTAATTGTTTTTAAATGTATGGACTTAATATTGATATTATTATTTTGTTTTTAATTTATTTCATATTATCAAAATATGAATAATATTTTATGTCGTAACTTGTAATTATTACAAATATCTGTAATTTGAATATGCTGCAGTAACTACATTGGATCAAAGATTGCGACACCCTGATCTACAAGCAGAATTTATCAATGAACTAAGGCCACAACGTAAACAATTCATAATAAAAAGATCTCAACGTTGCAGATCTTGTGAACACAATGTTAGTAAACCTGATATTTGTCAAGCATCTATTAAATTCAAAATTCAATTGGCAGCATTGTAAGTAAATTGATTTTGTGAATTTTTGCATCATAGTGAAGCCACATATATAACTTTAAACATCATTTATCATTTATAGCTATCATATTCCGGAAGTACGAATTGTGACATGTGAACCATTACGCCTTGGGAAATGTAGTGAATTACTTTTAAAATTTTGCAATCCTACTCAACATCAAATACAGATAGTACTTCTACCTTTGGATACTCCAATGATACCTACCAAAACTACTGCAACTGGTGTTAAAGAAGAAATTAAACGTGAAAACGTGCAAATGGTATTTTACCTGAAATTATTTCAACCTTCATTTAAGTACTCAATCCACTTAATTCAAGTTTCAACCATAATTTAAGATATTTTATAATTTATTTTTCGTACCAGGCGCTTGGGAAGTCGAACTCCTAGCCTCCCTGATACGAAAAATAGTATACATGCCACGGGAAGTAAAATGGCAAGCTCATAACTTACCTCCTTAGACGTGTAATGTAAATAATACTATAAAAGCTTTGTACATAGATTCCAAAATTTATATATAAAAAGAATTTTATAAATTTATTAACATAATTTAATAATCAAAAGTATACTATTATTATTTACTTCTTGCTACAGGGCTGTGATTCACCTAATTTGTTACCATCTGCTGTACGACAGACTGTTGTTATTGAAGAATCAAAACCAATAACAATAGCTCCAACTGGTGAAGTTATATTACCAAGTAATTTAATAATTTTACCACCTAGAGACGACACTGCAGAATACGATGAGCCTGGGGATAATCATAATTTTCAGGATGATCCAAAGTGAGTAAAATTACATATATTTTTATTGATTATACGAAAAATGACAGTAAAGTTTGATATTCGTAATATTTACAGATTAGTTGTTTGGCGGAAGGGTAATAAGGCGGTGATTCGATTGCATATATTACCTTATGTTGACAAAGAAAAAAGAGCAGAAGGTGATCCTATTGTTATAGGCTTTGTTATGCAGTATGGTTATGTTAATACAATAGCAACATTGGAGCATAAGGCTCCACAAAAATTGGATTTAAAAGTAAAATTATTTATAACAGCTGGGAATTTAACTGGTGATGCATAACATTATTTACTGTGATTAAATACATGAATCAACATACGCAATATCCAAATTGAATTGATTAATTTTCCCTGATTATATATACAAATAAGTAATTCTGTACTAATTTAATTTTTTAAATATATCCTTTATAAGAAATACCTATCTGACTATTTATTACCTTTTCAAATGGGGTCTTATTCAGTAAATATTATTTAGGATTCTGAATAATGATTTTTTAAATGTGCTTTTTTTAGATGTTTATTTAAGCAATATAGTAAAGCACAAAGTGTACCATAAAGATAATTTAAAGCCTGCGACCACGACGACCTCCCTTCCTTCTCGTCGAGTCAGAAGGAATAGGTGTAACATCTTCGATACGTCCAATTTTCATATTTGATCGAGCAAGAGCCCTAAGAGCAGATTGTGCTCCAGGTCCTGGTGTTTTTGTTTTGTTTCCACCTGTTGCTCTGAGCTTAATGTGAAGAGCTGTGATTCCAAGAGATTTGCATTTTTCAGCAACATCCTGAAATTGAATAAATTATTGTAATCTATTATGAAAAATAATTAAAATAAATTCTATCATAAACAGCTGTATTTTATTTAACAATGAAAGTACATCAGTATAAATTGATGGAAATGGAACAAGATTTTATTTGTCAGACATATAAACATAGTCTTATATACTGTATTGTCTGAGTGTGAAAACAATTAATTGCAATAATTAGTTTTATATAAAATAAAAATATTTGAATTTATTATACCTGAGCTGCCAGCATAGCAGCATAGGGAGAAGCTTCATCACGATCAGCCTTCACTTTCATTCCACCTGTGACACGAGCAATGGTTTCTCTGTAGAAATAATACTTCATTTATATTTTCTAATAAAACATTAAGAAAAAATGTACTTTTTTATGGAAACAAATTGTAAAAAGGTAGTATTTAAACTTTTTTATAAATCTATACTATTTATTTCAAAATAAACAAAAATGATATTGTCTTTTATTTGATCTAATATTTGTAGGAGACAGTAATTTTATAAAATTAAATAATAAATGATATAAATATACATATTGGGAATAAATTAATTCAACTGCAATTGAAAAAATGATCTTATTTCATAATAAAAAAGTAGCAGTACAAAATTGGGATAATGAAAAAGATTAATTTACTATAGTATGAACATGATCTGATTATTTGTTATATATTAGACTACTGCCTGTATCTAGAAATAGTTTATTATACTATTCTTGTTTAACAAAACCACAGAAAACATCACTATTTCAATCACAGTTATATACTATAAAATGTAATTTGTAAATTCTGAAAAAAAGTAAATAATAGATTCTCTTATAAAACAAATGAGTAAAATTAATCTTAATGTGTTCAAATCATTTAAGTCTTGTAGAATTCTCTATCGTTGTTAATAAAATGAATATTAATGACTATTATTTAGAATATTTAAAAACGAACCTGCCAGAGAGATCAGTGACATGAACAAAAGTGTCATTGAAACTAGCAAAAATATGGGCAACACCAAAAACATTTTCTCCTTCCAAAACTTGTGGTCCAAGAGAAACTTGCACTTCTTCTTTCTGAACTTTACCCCTTTTTGGTGCCATTTTACTATAAAGAAATGAAAAACAATATAAGTAAATAAGAAATAATGTTTAAAAATAAATTATTTTAAACGTTATGAAATGAACACTTGTAAAATTATTCACAAAAATAACAGTATTGACTATTTTGAAAGGTTATGCCGTGACAGCCACTACGGCAACGTAAGGGCTGAGAAAGGTTGTAAAACTCATATCCATTAACATCAGACTAGTACTATATAAAATTAAGGAATTCATGAGTTTTATGCATAATCAATTTTCAGAATATTTTAATGCAATGTGTATTTTTATTAAAATAAGTGATTTTGTCTGAAAAAACAACTAACAATTACTTACTTAATATCCTGGAACGAACTGTTCACACGCAGGCAGTCGGAAAAGATGGAGCCTCCGGTGCGCGTTAACCAATATAGCTTCTTCAAGACTCGCGATAACTATTTTTTGAATTTAATTGAAACTACTAATGCGCTGTCTATTGTTAACATTAAAATTATTTCTTACTATAAATATTATTAATAAATTAATTAAACCTTTTTTAATATCGTTAATATCAAAATTAATTTGACATTCAATAAATATTTTATAAATTCTGTCAAATCTATTTTACCGACATGAGTTGAATAATTTTTTTAGTTTCATTACATGATTATCAGAGGCGCGCTGTTTGAAATAAAAATAGAAATAGATGCAAAAAGTAATTTTTCTAAAAAACGGTACATCTCCTATTTTTTATTGCAATGACAAAATTATGCTTCAACTAAATCAATAATGAAACGGAATCTACCTATTTAGCTTATTATTCGTCCCACTCTACTTAATATGCTAGGTGGAAAAAGTTTTAACTGTGGCCTCTATGAGATCGTTCCAAATGTTTTTTTTCAAGTTATTTGAAAAAATATCATTTAATAGTTCATCGTTGAAGCAATAAATTGTGTTAATAACGTTTGTTTATTCATTCACAAATTACTCCTTAAAAAGCAAATCAAGTTTTAGGTGCTAGAACCGTAGCATCCAAGTTGAAATGGGGCTAAAACATTAGAAAAATTCATAAAAGAACTTTAATAAATAAGCTAACCGCTAGTTAATGAGATGAACTAATAGCATTTATTATAAAATCGCAAACAAATAAATTGTTTATCACATTGAAAATATAAAACTGTTTTGGCCTATTATAATTAAAGGTTCGCGGTCATAGTCAAAGTAGTGCGCATACGTCTCAGGGTGTGCAACACTTTTAGCATACATATATTTATATTCGTATTTATACATACACAGTTGCATGCATAAATTAGTTCTCACTCTATACTAAAATTACCCAAAATACAAAGATTTCTAGCTCTGTTTATAATGGACGTAGAAAAACTCGCGGGGATTATAAAGAATAAAGCAATACCTTTCATATTTCGTAGGTTTTTTTAATTGAAAATTGCGCTTTTTACATTAAAAAAACTGAACAATTTTTTGTATTATTTACCCCTCGTAAAGAAAATATCTTCTAACTTTTAAACGAGTAAGTCAATTTTTTTTAATTAGGTGAATTGGATGCACATTTGTATCCTCTTTAAAATGAGCGGAACAAAATCTATTTATACAGAGCCAATAAAAAATTACATTCATTTTTGTTAAAAAAGTCACTTTTTTCAAGCTTGATTATATTCGAACATATGCACTATGGAGAAAAGCTCCAAAGAGAAAAAATGTTTGCTTTTGCATGTCGAATAAGTATTTAATAAAAAAAATTAAGTTTTGTAAAAAATTTTTTTTCATTTTTTACCACTTTTTTTTACAAATTTTTTTAATAAAAATAGTTCAAGTTACTATTGAAAAGAACATCGCTATTTAATTATATTTAGGAGATTTACTCCAAAAAATTCATAACCAAGCAAATTATTATCACAATTTTTTAATGCATAAGAAGTATATTATAATATTTTTCACAACTTAATTATTTTTTAGTAAATACTTATTCTACATGCAAAAGCAATCTTTTTTCCTGTTTGGAGTTTTTTTCACAGAGCATGTGTTCGAAAATAATCAAATTTGAAAAAAAGTGATTTAACGAAAAATGAACGTAACTTTTTATTGGCTCTATAAAAATAGATTTTATTTCGCTCATTTTAAAAAGGAGACAAATGCGTATCCATTCCACCTAATTAAAAAAAATTGACTTATTCTTTTAAAAGTTAGATGTTTTTTACGAGGGATAAAAAATTTTAAAAAATTTTTCAGTTTTTTTGTTGTAAAAACCGCGATTTTCAATTAAAAAAACCAACGAAATATAAAAGGTATTGCCTTATTCCTTAAAATGAGCCCCCGCGAGTTTTTGTACGTCCTATACGGAGCTAGAAAACTGAAATTTAACTAATTTTAGTATAGGGTGGGAACTAACTTATAACAAATAGATATAAAAATCGTACACAACAAATTACTACCAACTTAAGGATTCAAAATAATCTAGATTTACAATTCTATGCAACATAATCTCAAAAGTAATAATAAAATTACCCTAACTTACAAATGTTTCTTTATGATATTATAATTAATCTAAGTAACATTTTGGTCGTAACTATTAGCTAACTATTTGAATATTTTTATACTTTTATTAAAATATACTAATTGTATTCAAGTTTGTCTAATTATTTTGAAGTTATGTTAAGCATCTGTCATTTCAAGTTAGCAATAGCAGAAAAGTCACTAGAAATTGCTTTTTGCCTACGATTTTTATTTAATATAAATGGAAGAATCATCGTTATTTAACCCAATCCGAACTTGCGGGTACTGGTATATAGCATCTGAAACTTAGTCTGCTTTTTAAGGGATAATTTGTGAACGAACAAATAAATACCATAACAAAATTTATTGCTTCAATGGTGAACTATCAGAATAGTATAATTATTTTCTGGAATAACTAAAAATTAGTATCTCAGTGCTAACTTTTAAGACTTCAGCAATAGTATGTATGTATGTACACGAAATAGGCCGGTGAACAATTGATTTTCGCACTTAAACAAAAATAAGACGAATTTAAACTTATTTAAAATTTCACATCAGATCAGAGATCAGATGCTTTCGTTTTGTAACAGTACTAACAGTAGCAACGTAGTCTGAAACGTTCCTGCGTTCGTGGTGTTGTTTCTTTATTGTGTTGTGCTTTGATTTTTACTCTTGAAAAAAGAAATTATTAAATTATAGTAAAATGTCGAGCAGCGAACGAGAATCGGAGATGGAATTTGATGAAGAATTAAAACAAGAAGTCGTGAATGAGGATAAATACGACAATGATAGAACTGATCAAAACATTATGAATATATTAATTGCAACGGATATTCACTTAGGCTATGAACAAACGATAAAGAGAGGTAATATATTTATTAAAATGATATGACACATATGTTATGTATAATACATGTACTTTAATTAAGCTTTAATTAAATTAAATTTAGCTTATTAATTAATGTTGCTTTAAATAGATTTTTCGTGCGAGTTGTGCTGTTCTACATTTATACTAAAATCTATTTTAATGTTTATTAAAATGTATTTATTTATTTAAATATTAATTATAATTACCAAAATAATTTCTTTTAAATAATATAAAATAATAATATTTTGTTTAGCTCAAGAAGATGACAGCTTTCGAACTTTTGAGGAAATTCTTCAAAAAGCTGTAGAAAAAGATGTGGATATGATACTTTTAGGAGGTGATTTATTTCATGAGGCAAAACCACCCCATAATGTAGTTATGAAATGTGTAAATTTACTGAGAAAGTATTGTTTGAGTGATAAGTGAGTTTGTTCACCATTTTTTTACTATACATGATATTGTAAGGTACAGAATATTTTTGTGTCTCCTAGACCTGTAAAAATTCAGTTCTTGAGCGACCCAATAGAAATTTTTAGCCATTGTGATCATAAGTTAGTTAATTATGAAGATCCAAACTTAAATGTTGGGATACCTATATTTTCAATACATGGAAATCATGATGATCCAAGTATGAATACTTTTTTTGAACAATTATACTCAATATTTAGATTAAAATTTATAAATAAAAATATTCTCCTTAGGTTATGGTGCTGTTGGATCAATGGATGTTTTATCTGCCACAGGTCTAATAAACTATTTTGGTAAATGGACAGATGTAACACAAGTTACAATACCTCCTCTATTACTTCGTAAAGGTTTAACTACTGTAGCACTTTATGGTCTTAGTTATATGAATGATCAACGATTATCAAGATTGATGAGAAGTGATAAAGTAATATAAGTAATTATCTTATATAGTATAATTATATTATAAAAATAACTTATGCATGATGTTTCTAAATAGTTCAATATGCTGGTTCCTAAACAAGTTGAAGATACTTTCAATATTTTTGTATTGCATCAAAATAGAGCAAGACATGCTCAAAATGCATATATTCCTGAAGATCAATTACCAGATTTCTTAAATCTTGTTCTATGGGGCCATGAGCATGAGTGTAGAATTCTTCCAGAGGAAATAAAGAAAGAAGTTACTAATAACATCTACTACATCACCCAACCAGGTAATTTGTGGTATTAAATTTGCTTATCAGTATTAATTATATGGAATTTATAACAAATTAATTTATCTGTTTAGGAAGCCCAGTGGCAACATCTTTAGCTCAAGGAGAATCTGTTAAAAAACATGTTGGAATTTTAAGTATTTATAAAACTTCATTTAAAATTGAATGTGTTCCATTACATACTGTCAGACCATTTGTTTTCGATAATATTCTTTTGGATGAACACACTGATGAAATATCCAAATTCAAAAGTAAATCAGAAGCTGTTGAAGAATTTATTGATAATTATATTGAACATAATATGATTGTTAAAGCTTCAGATCAAATGACAGGTTAAAGATATATTACATTTATAAAATTTCTTCTAAACTAATTTTTGTTATAAATATTTTATTTTAAAGGACATTCACAACAACCTGAAAAACCGTTATTAAGATTAAGAGTATTTTATAGTGATGATCAAGATTTGTTTGATCCTCTAAGGTAATTCTTCATGAATTGAATTTTATGGTTACAATTGTAGTACTTCAAATTTTTCAGATTATCGCAAAAATATTATCACGTAGCAGCCAACCCAAACGACATGGTTCTTTTTCGTAAATGTTCAAATAAGTTGAAAAAAAATTATATTAAGGCAGAAGTTGAAGATTTAGAGGAAATCGCTGAAATTTTCCGATTCGATGATGTAATTGTACATTACTTATCCTGTTAGTTTTTGAAAAATATATGGGTAATACAATTGTATACTCAATTTTAGACTGATAGAGACTGGAGAAGGACAGTTCAAGGCGGCATGACTGAATATTTTAGTCAAGACAATAATATGAATAAGCTAACAGTATTATCATTAACTGGTTTAAATGAAGCTTTAACACGATTTGTTAATGCAAATGACAATAAAGCATTCCACGATTTAGTCAAGTAAAATATTTCAAATATTATGTACAATTATGATGCAATTCAAATATTTTATTTTTACCTAGAATTTAAAGCACATCTATATATGAAAGTAACTTTAATGATTAAATTTTAGGCATCAAATAAAAAAAACCGTCAATTACTTAATGAAAGACAATCCTAATTATAAAAATAAAGAAGATATTCTTGAAGCTATAAAAAAATATAGAGATTCAAGATTAAACAAAGACAAAGAAGAAAAAACAGAGGTATTTTATGGAAAGAGTTCTTCAAATTTATTTTGCTATCAAAGAAAATTTGGAATATGCCATATAAATTTGTGTATTAGGATAAAAATTTCTTTGATACAAGAGATAGCGCAGTAGCTGATGTTAGTAAGGAAAACTCTACATCGCGAGAAGAAGATAGCGACGGTAAAGCTGAAGAAATTTCTGTCTCAACAAAAACAAGAGGTCGAGGAAGAGGGCGAGGTAGAGGAAGGGGAACAACTACTTCCAAAGTGAAAGATAGTCCTGCAAAAGCAACCAGAGGTGGAAGAGTATCAAAGAAAAATATAACAGCATTAGAAGTAACTACTTCAGGAGGCAGCAAGCAGTCGTTACTGTCGTCCTGGAAAAAAGTGAGTTATGTTCAATTGTAAAACTGTTTTATTTTCCTTATAAAAAATTTAAATTGCAATTTTTTAAAATATTTTTAGCCATCTGAAACTGGAAATATGCCAAGATATATAACCATTGATGATTCAGACTCAGATTGAATGTAATTTGTTGGTATTAAAAAATAGAAATAGGATTTTCTATTATTTATTATCTATTTTCTACACTCAATGTCTATTCATTAATTTATTGAAATAACATTTACAGCGATATGTATATTTATATATTTTAATTGGGAATGAATACCTTATTAATATTATGGTAGTCATGACAAGTTAATGAACAATATCCTAACATCATTTTTGTCATTACCTGCATGACGACAGTATTATAAACAGCTATATTTCAAAATTTTATAATACAAATTCCGATACTGGTAACTTTTTGATTGTGTTAATATTCTCTTTTTCAGGTCATCAACGCTCCCAAAATAAAATAAAATAAAATAGTATTTTCATATATAAGATTAAAGTAAATATATTTCAATATTTTATATTAAACAAATTTTACTAATAAATAAATACAAAAGCATTATCTCGCAATTAATTAAAAAGTATGTAATATATACAGTCACATGAAATGTCTAGTATTAGAAGATAGACTGATTTTGAATTCTCTAATAGATACGAAAATCGTACGCAACAAATTGTTGCTAACTTAAGGATTTTAAATAACCCAATTTGTAATTTCATGCAACATAACCTTAAAAGTGATAACGAAATTACTCCAACTTTAAACTATTAGCTAAAAATTTGAATATTTTTTTTACTTTTATTAAGAAATATACTAGTTGTATTTAAATTTCTCTAATCATTTTGAGGTTGTCAAGCATTTGTCATTTCAAGTTGGCAGCAGCAAAACAACTAGAAATTGCTTTTCGCCTACGATTTTCATGTCTATTGGAGAATCAGCGTTATAATCCGTCAAGTATGTAGTATGTACACCTACACGTTTCCCTACGAATTCTGTGAGTACCATACGTGAATGTATATAGGTAATTTAAATTAAGTGAATTAGTATTATTATATCGGTCCCTCATATTTCATAATTTAAGAAAATAGAAAAAAATTTTGTTTATTAATATCTATTTTTTACAGTATTTTAGTACGTATGTGAAGTTAATAACAGATTTTCAGTATTAAAACACTAATTTTATTTTTAATGTTTATTTAGTCTTTTTTTTCTTTTGATTAAGGAAGCTTTATGTATTTGCAGAAATTTATATGTACCTATTTGGTCGCATGAAGGTATTAATAATTAAATATTTCTCGGTGGACACGTGAGCATGTACAGAAACGTCAATTGGCCAGTATTAACGTTTTTCTTCCACAATTTTGACAATTTCGATTGATATATTGAACTGGCGCTTTTAGAATATGGTTACACAATAATACTTCGTCTGACGAGGATTTTTACGGACTTGAAATGAGTCGAGAGTTTTATATAAATATTCAGTCCAATATTTCTATATGTACACATACTGTAGGAATGAATAACAGACGATTTTATTTTAAGGTAAAAGCTTTTTTACTTCGACTATTTCTATGTACCAGCCTATTAAATATTTTTATTGACCTTTGAGTTTTTTTAGTTGAGCAAATATTAAAATTATGCAATTTGTAACATTTTTAAAAAGTATTATAGATATTTAAATTAGTATTTTGATTGTTCCAGTTTGTTTTGAAAACTGAAGATGTTTGAGCTTTTGAAAAAACTCACTTTATATAGACATTATCTTATTTAACGACCGACTTGTTCGTATAATTCACTCAATACTCAATAATGTGAGATAATATCTGACTATTAGTCACTCTACTGGAAATATAATTATGAATTTAAAAAAATCTGTTAACAATTATTCATGATTTCAAACAATCGTAAACATAGGTAAACATACGCTCGACACATAAGCTTCATGAAAAACTTAATCCTAGCTAGAGCCTGGAATATTGATCGTTTGCACTATCAACGTAAATAACCTTAATTTTTTGTTGACTAATTTTGTTCTTTGCTCTTAACAGTTTGAATGATCATGATTTGAGCGGTAATAACGAGGGTTTTGCGGACTTTAAAAAAGAAGGAAGTTTTTTATTCAATGTGAAATTTTTTATGTTCGCGCATATCTCATTTAAAAGAATACGCATGCAACTTGATCTTATTTTATTATTGACTTGAATGGTAAATAACTTTGATTTATTGTAAAAAATAAATTTCGAGTCAGCCGCTTTTCTGTTGCAAGAATTACTTTTCTACACCATGAATTCGAAGCACGGAATGGTTTTCTGTGCTGCTCCTTGACATAGGCAACCAATTGAATCAATACATGTAAGAGACATCTAAATGGAATTTATGAAATGGAACTATAAAAAAATACTTAAAAACAAAGAAATCACGTAACATTAACTTTATTATGCAAACTTGATATTTCCAACGTTTCTCTATATATATGTAGTAAAAAAATTATCGTGTAATAACAAGGAAAAAGTTTGCTTCTAATACAAAGTAAATGATCACCGTAGAATGACTGTTACGTTTTATTTTATAATAATTAAATCTATTACTGCGTTTGATGTACACCTTCGTCATCGAGGATCACTATCATGGATTGTCATTGATTGATACACCCATACGTACATAGAAAGCTTACTTCGCTTATAATCGCTTCGAAAAAGCTGATCATAATGAAATTAAGACTTAGATTTTCAAATGATATTCACACAAAACAATATTTCAATTCAAAGGGCATTCTCTATCGATTCGCAAACTTTCAATACACAGTTACTAAAAACCAATACTTTCTACATTTAGGAATGTTTTTAACATATCGCAGGGACTGAGTGGAACGAATAATTAATTTATTGAATCTCGATCGAACATTCGTGATCAATTGGTAATCGATTCGCATGTTAAAAGAATACTAAGTCAAAGCCTATTTCGCATTACAGTGGTATTAAATAGGAGTAATTCGCTGAGTAATTAGTAGTCTTTTACCGCGGAAGCTCAGCAGCGACAATTCGAAGAAGCCATTGAGATGGTGTAGACGATGGAAGATCGATCAGAAGTCGCAGGTGTGACAAAGTGCCAATCAAATGAGATGGAGCCTGACTAAAAAATGCATCGAGTCTTGTAATTTGCTGTTCGATGGCAAACACCGATAGTAGAATTGGAAATCGGAAGATGTCGGATGGGAATGAATAGATTGCAACGGAGGAAATGCGCGCGCAGCTGAACGCTATACAGCATATATGTAGCTGCTATATAGTGATTGGATGGCGGACACGCGCGAGTATAAGCGTATGCATGTCGGAGGGAGAGAAAGAACGTAGTGTGTAGGTTGACAGGAGAGTGTAGATGTGCGGCGCCTGAACACACCTTACGCGAAAGTCGCGACGGCGCACGGTCGAGCAGAGCGGAACGTTTGCGTTTCTCTCTGGAAGCGAAACAACAAGAGCGAACGCGTAGCGGAGCAGCACTGCGGCGCAAGACTAGCAGCTCCGACTCACTGCTGCTCAGTGACCAATCGTCCGAGTGTCGCGCAGGACCTCGGCCACGTCTGCTCTGCTGGATGCACGATTCTCGTATTTGATCTCGCCCATCGCAAGTAGAAAGCGCACTCGTAGCAAGTGTTCCGCTCACGGCGAGCGTCGAACACCGACGCGTGCAGCACAGGACTCGGAGGTTAAAGTGATAACTCGCTCGTAGGCAGAAGGAGCAAGCGAGAGAACGAGCGAGTGTCGGCCGGCCGAGTGCAAGTGCAAGTGCGAGTGCGCGTCGCGACAACATGAAGCTCTCCTGGCTACTCCTGGCGACGCTGCTCGGCTGCTGCTGCTGCCTACTTCTGCCAGCCAACGCCAAGGCCGCCAAGCGCAGATTCGACGGGGACTTTGAGTTTGCCGAGGAGGTAGGCTTCCTTGCGTGTCCCCGTGATCCGTAGTCTTGTGACGAAGCCCTTGAAAGCCTTGCGTGTGCCCCAGCTTTCGTTCTTGTCACCCAGACCAGGACTCCTCGCTGGCACGCCATTTTTTTTGGCTCTCGCCTCCAGCCCGCGCCGCTGCTGCTCGTCCGCTTTCGTAGAGCCTGTGCGTGCATACGCGTGTTGTGTGTGCGCCTCCCCCCGCCCGGCGCCTTTCTTTACTTTATGATGCTCCTGTACTCCGAAATTTGGATTGGAATCTTTATTTTCTTGGGATTTTTTTCGCGCGGCCACTGCTCTTGTTATGTTTCATTCCTCCCTCGGGGAAATTCATATTGCGAGTCCTCTCTCTCTCTCTCACACACACACACACGCACACACACACACTTTTCGCCACCGCCACCTTCGAGATTACCAGCGTTATTTCCTGACACCTTTACCAGAATTTCATTAATTAACTGAAATTGCTTTTCCAAAGTTAGTTTTGATTTGGTATTCTGCAAGCGTGACGACGAATGTGTAGGTGGTTTTCTCGGACTTTATTCAAATGGTTAATCTCGGCTTTCATTTGACACGTAGCAAGATATTGGTAAGATTGCAGTTTTGGCAGATATCCGTAGGACATGATGAATGCGTAAGCTTGTTAAGCGAGTGATATATTGTCAATATGGGAATAAGTGGAAAAGCAGTTCTGATAGCAGATTCATACGAAACGTTTATCCGTGAACTTGGAGCTAACGCGATATTGCTCGAGGTATTCACGATCGAAATGAGCAGTGATGACAACGTAGATATCGTTAGAAGAGCTTTCAACGGTCAAGAACAATGTCGCGCAAGCTGCATAATACATCAAATAGGAGCCCGTATGCGATTTGCGCGCAACAGAAGAGTAACGATGGGCTGTCGGCTGGAAAAACAAATTTTGTAATTGACGCATGGATTTTTTAATGCGCGCCTACGTGGCGTGCAGCAAATATCGTGGGCTGCGTTTCACGCTGAACGAATAGCGTATTGGCAGGAGCGTGGCAGCGGCAGACGAGCTCCGATGTAAAAATTGTGCGTGTATATTCGGGCGTGCTTCCCCGTTGGTGTTATGCATGTACGTATGTGCGCGCACGGAATGCACAATAGTTGTAAAGGCACGTGGGCAGGATCCCGCTGCAAAACGTGTGAACAGCAGTCAGCCTACACGGTACCGCGGGTTCGGCGAATCAAATACGCCACTTTGATTTTTTTTTTCATGCTTTGAGGGACGGCCAATTTCAGTCGAGTTTTTGCGCTGCCGATCGATCCACCGAATGGCGTAATCAGAGCTTCCGTTAAAATGCTGCGATGCATTCAATTCAGATTCTCCGGTTTTTGCGTGAAAACTTGACGACTGTACGACATTTCAAAGACTTGAATGACTGTACTGGACTGACTGTGCGCTGTTTGAAGGTGCAAGCTGCTGCGGCATACATCGCGGTATTATTCGCAATTGAAACCTCGAGTCGTTTCATTTGTCTATCGAATATATACATTAGCAAATATTTAAAGAGGGAAAGTAGAGGTTTTCTCGTATAACGCGTCTCGTAAACTATTCACAGCGTCACAGTCTAAGGGCATCCAAAAGTGGAAACATATAGTCAATATCTAAACGCTTCCGCGAATATCTTAGCAGTAAGGGTAACTGCAACCGCACGTGAGTTATTTAGGCGCTCAATTGGTATGAATGATTTAGAAGAAGAAGCGAGAATCAATAAAAACTGGTGTGCACAGTGACTGAGGATGATAAATAACGCGTTACACGTTCGGTAACAATTGACAGGTAGAGTGAAAATGGGAGTAGCTCGATGGCACCAGGTCTTTTCATCGAAAACAAAGAGGACGAAAAAAGGGGAGAGAGAGAGAGAGAGAGAGAGAGAGAGAAAATAGCGAATCGGCGCTTGGCTAAGGCATAAAAAGCCTTTCTTGCGGCAGCGCTGCCTGGGTTATCGGCGCCTCGCGAACAAACAACAATAAAGCGAGCGGCGCGTTCAGTCTCGGGCCGACTGTGCGGCGCGAGCCTGCAGCAGCAAGGCATTGAATAGGTGTGTACGAGCGTCTGGGATGCACGCCCGCATTGAAGCTCGACACAGCAGCTGGCGTTGATGCGGCGCTCGCTCTCTAAAAGTCCAACGCGCATTATAGGTATGGGTGTGCGGGCACAAAGCACCTGCAGCGAAGCACATTCATCGTCGGTAGTCCTCTTATCTGGCTTGCGCGGCGCCGCCTGTGCTGGCGACGGCCCGTGCTCGAGGTAAATAAGTTCGCGCGGAGCGCCAGATTCGCCGTGAACGAGCGCGCGGACCGGCGGATCAGCGGAACTGCCGACCAGTTGGCAAATAAGGGATGCGTGCGCGGCGGCTGATATTAATATCCGCGTGCAGGCGCGGTACAGCAAGACTGCGCTTCGGGCGCGCCCGAGGGGATCGCCTCGCTGGCCGCCGTGCGCGCGCGGACTATACTGCTCTACGCGTGTGCTTTTGACCTCGGACTCGCTCGTTTGCTATCGATCCTTTCCGCGACGCGCTTTTGCTTTTGGTTTTGCCTCTTTGCCCCTGCCCCTGCCCCTGCCCCTGCCCCTGCCTCTCCTCGCCGTCTCTCCTTTTCGCACTGTCAACACTTACGGATCCATTATTTACCGCATCGCTACGTCCGCGTTCCATGCTCTTTTAACGCCTCTAATCCTTTTTGCTTCCTCGTAGTGCCTTACCTAAGCACGTCTCCTCGGTAATGGATAATCCAGCCATTATTTGGCTAGTGGTTTTTATCCAGCTGCTCAGTGGTCCGCGAGCTTTCTGCTTTCTACGTCAACTCAATTGAACCTTGTGTAATCTGATTTTGCCCAAATCAAATGAGACGAGTCGGATGACCGTGCCAGAAAAGGTCCGTCCAAGCAATGGCGACCTCGTTGGTTTTCGAAACTCTCCGCTCCTGAAAAGGCGTTTCGAGAAAGTTTACGATAATCGATTATGCTTGTCAAATGACGCGTACAGCGAGACCTCGCAAAATTATCGCGCTCCACGTCGATTCGCAAATATTAACTTGATAGGAATAATCAAGCAGGTTTCCGTAACAACTCGTAAAACGTTCAGTTTGAACGTTCATGAGATTGATTTTGACGGTAAATTTTTTTTTTTTCAAACTTTGACGTATTTCTCGAATCATTAAGCAATTTCTGCTGTCGAAACTTGTAATAACTTGTACAAAACAGAAAGGACACACAGAAGGAAGTAGACTTTTAAACTCGCGCTTTTGCCTTTACTTCGATGGTGAGTTGTCGCTCTTTAGAAAGTTCAATTTGTCGCGTGTTCACTAAAGTTTTCACGCGTGCTGCACGGTCATCAGCGCATCTAAATCGGTTTTCGAACGAGTATTCTAGAAAATCTCAAAATGAAAATTTACCGAGGTGTCGTTGTTTGACTAAACGGCGTTGTCGTGCACGAGATAGTGGACGAATGATGACTATAATGGAGAAAAAGAGCGACGTGCTGGCACTTCCAACGGGAGACTGATTAATGCCACGCGAAAGTTCGAATGTCACGGTTTTGAACCCTGCCCCGCAATTCGCAACCGAAAGTATTTGAGATGCGAATGAATGCGATACAAATTGCGTGTAAGCTGAACCATTCGGATAGTCGCTTCGATAACTGGTGTCATTGTCATCAAACGGGCTGAAAATGTAAGCGAGCAGATGAACTGCTTGAAAGAGTGCCGAGCGAACAACTTGAGAGACTATAAATTGATTTGTGGGTACATCGAAAACAATGACACAACGAACAATCGAAATAGAAATTGGAGGCTATTTGGCAGGCATACTATTTACAAGAGCAGAAAGGCCGGAAAATGAGGTTAACGGGGGAGTTATGATCGATCGAGGTAAAAAGAAAAGTAGAGCTGCGGAAAAGTATAGAGCGAGTAAGAAATCGCCCGCGGCACGTGGATGAGCGGAGTCTCGAAGGCGCAGTAATAATCTTGGCGGCTGTATTTGTTGGAAGCTGTATAGGAAACGCGGACCAGGACGAGAGGCGAAGGGGCACGAAGCGAGCGAGCAAAGAAGAGGGCCGGCAGCGAGCCCAAGTTTATTCTAGCCCAAGGCTGTTTGGCCCCATCCGCAAGCTGCTCTGTCAAAGAGTTTCGATGCCGTCGGGACAATCTTCCCGTGGCCTGCCTCTCATTTTCGTGGCTAACTTGGTAGCCGAGTCGCGCGAGCGAGCCAGTCGAACAGTTTCAGCTCTCGGTCAATGTTCAATTTGGCCCGCGCGTCGCAAGGAGCGCCCGAGCTTTTCCCCGGCGCCCAGATTTTCGTCTCGACGTCGTTCGCCGCGCTATTTCCAGGCATGCTCCTAGTCTATCCGAGAGACGACGAATGGACAAGTGTGCGTGCGCGTGTCGACAGTTTCTTCGGAGTTGGCCTCGACGTGCAAATCGATCGGCCGTAAGTCGCATTAAAAAACAAGCTCTGTGCGCGCAAACTTGGAGCCCTGCTCCTCCTCGAGGTCGCGTCCCGTCGAATGTGCCACGCGCGTCGGCGTGGGCGGGGGTGAAATATTGGGCAGACCGTGAGACGCCCGCCGGGCCGGCGACTCTGTGCCCCCCCCCCCCCCCCCCGCCAGCCTCCTCGTTCCTTCCGTGTCCGCCGGGCTGCCACTGCCGCTTCTCCGCCGCGGAACGCATCCTCCACGTTCCCCGCTGTTTTTGCGCGTCCGTGTTTGCAGGCTCGTCAGAATTAGCGATTCAAAGGCCGCCGCTGCCGCGTGATGAATGCAGATATTGCCGCGGCGGTAGCAGACAGAGAGGCAAAAAGCGCTGTCAGCTGCAGAAAGGGCCTCGATGCGAAATACACGTGAAGCGGTGCCGAGGGGGAGGCAAGTGGAGGGGGGGGGCTTGATTAAAAGCTCGATATACCCGCGACGGGATAGGCGCCATAGTGGAGGAAGGAGTTGCGGAGGATATTCCGGCGCAAG